ATAAAAATAGATTTTGAGATAATCCGAAGAACATTTTACATCAAAATTATATACCATGATAACATTTGAAGGTCCACCTTACCTCTACCGCTACAGATGCATCAGTATGCCAACTGCACCCTAATATAAAAGCTATATTTTCCATGCCTTTCTAGAGCTTCCAATAACAACCATAATGTGGATTCCCTGTAGAGAGATCACTTATCTTTGGTATAAGGTGGTTACAATTAATTTTCATCATTAGATGTGTAATTGGGTGGTTCTATTTATTCTATTGACAAAACTCAAACTTCAAAAGAAATCTCGAATTTTGTGACACACCCAAGCTATCAAATTTCACATAGTAATTGTGACCATGTTGTATCAAGGGTAAATGGTCTCATTGTATACATTCTCTTTCTTTATAACGGAAAGCACTTTGGGTATCCTAAATCTCCATGATAGTTTTAGAATTAATTTCCAATACGAACTATAAAATTTGAAAGTAAAAAATATAATACAGATCTTGCACACCACGAATACCTATTTTTAAGATGAAATTGACAGTCTAAATAACATCTTACATTATACATTATTTTGAGTGCTTTCATTTTTTTTTTTTCATAACCATAAAATTCAAGGCCGAAATGATTGATTTGAAGGTTTTCAAATGCCAAAAGTGAGGTTTTATTTATTTTGATAAAGTTGTGGCCCTATCAAAATATTTTCTTATAGAATCTCTCTCATTATGATTCATGCCTCCCATGGTTGGCGAATAGTTGTCATAATCATGAACAGTCCCACCTATAGAGATGGTTGTTTGCTTTAACGGTCCTAAGAGAAAAAAGAATAGAATGTCGCTTGGTCGGTCAATGGGATGTTAACGGCGGTGTGAGTTGCTTTAGAGAGAAGCTCTCATTTCATGTGGTCCTGCCCTCTAGGGGTTTGAAGTAAATGAATAGTATATGAACCTAACTAACCGGTACATTCAGGTATCTTCAAAGCAACATAAAGCATTTTGGTGCATCGTGTGGAGATCCTAACAATTGGGTTTCCTTCTGATGTAAATGTGTGAGAGAGATTATTTAAAGTGAATGTGTTTTAGAACATTGTTTTACTATTGTAGGAGAAGATCACAATCATCATAAGCTGTTACATATGAAATTCAATCGCTTGGAGCATGTCATAAAGTCAAGACATTTCTTTTTGAACTTTTTGAGGCTCTTTGATGAAACGACTCTAGCCACTTGATTACGCATCTAAGAGCCTATTGCGAATGTGAACTTCTTATGCGAAAGCTAACTAATATGGAAAACTGTACCATGTGTCAGGGGACGTAGGTCCACATGTGTCCCTTGACCAACCAACCATCCATTTCAAAGATGCATGAATCTTCTATTAGCTCTCGGCTTGCAAACCCCAGCCACCTCCGCTGCTTGCAAACCCTAGCCACCTCTACCTCCTGCACCCTAGCCATTTGCTCCTCCTCCAAGCCAAGCCTTCACCATTTTGCAAGGTTATCTTTGCTCAAAACCACCTTCATTGTTGCTCAAATGCACCGGTAGTAGCCCCTTTGCTTGCTTCAACCACGACGGAAACCACCGGAGTGCAGTGAGGGTAGTGATTTTTTAGCAGATTACGGCGTTTATACCTTGGATATGAGTTTTCTTCTCAGATATGAGCTTTCCTCTAGTTTCTTCTTTTTTTTTTTTTCTTTCCTTTTTGTTTCTCCTTTCTTTCTTTTTTTTCTTCCCTTTTTGTTTCTCCTTTTTTTTCTCTTTTCCCTCTTCTATCTTGTTTCTATTGTTTTCTTTTATCCTTTTTTTATGAGCTTTCTTCCTCTCTGTTTTCTGCTGCCTTATGTTCTTCTCCCTCTTATTCTTTCATCCCTCTCCCTTCTCTTCCCCTTCTCTACCCCTTTCTCTGTTTTTATTTTAGTTTTGGTTTCAGGGAGTGAGAGAGAGCTAGTAAGAGAGAGAGCTCTTTGGTGATGGGTTCCTCCTTTCCTTTTTCATCTTTCTCTCTATCCATTCAATTCCTATCCTCTCTTGTGTCATTTCTTTCATCCGTTGTTTTCGTTTTGGCCTCTACCTTTTTGTTGACCCATCTCTTTTTGTCCTCGTGTCATCCTCCCCAACTAGGGTAACATCTAAGATGGCGTGTACCCTTGTCTTCGACATCCTATCTTGGATTTTCTTAGGTCCTCAGGATTTCTTTTAAGGACTGAAAAATCCTTGTATTAGGCCACTATAGGTTAACACCTAAGATGAGGCTTTTCATTAGAAACCTTGTCACAGAGGTTGGAGTTCCTTTGGGGCTCTAATTTCCTTCTTTGTGGCCTAGTATAATTTTTGGGAGATGAATATGATTCTCTCACCTCTTATGTGCTCTTCTTGTTCCTCTCATGTCCTTACTCTAGCCTTTTTTCTTCTTTGGCCTCTTTTCTTGCTCTTTTCCCTCTTGGCCTTTTTTTGCCTTTTTGATGGGTCGCGGTTGTAGCATTAGCACCCCATCTACGGACTGGTGTAGAATGTTGGTTGTTCCAACCCCGATTATGCGGAGATCGTTGATAGGATGGGTCGCGGTTGCAGCACTAGCACCCCAACTGCAGATTAGCATAGGTTGTCCCAACCTTGGCTATGCGAAAATCGTTGATAGGGAGGCACGCTCTTGGGGCTACTTGTTGGAAGTTGGAACTCCGAAGTTTTATGTTGAGAAGATAAGGCTTTTGTGAGTTTTGTTTGGATCAATTGGTGCCTGTAAATCTGGTGTTGGATTGGCGAGGCTTTTGGATTTGGTGTGTTCTAGGAGTTAGGTTTGGTTAGTCTTAGATCTAGGGAGTGCTCCTCCCTACTTCTTCGTTTTGTACTTTTGTAATTAGGAGTTTTGCCCATCTAATGAATATTACTCTTTTCGTTTAAAAAAAAAAAAAGGGTAGTCCCTCCAAAGACAAAAATAGAGGGTCTTACATAAACATAAGAAGATACTGATTTTTAATTTTTAAAAATATTTTGTACTTATATATTCATATTCACTAAGGTGGAGATTGTCGATCCTTAAATTTTTTGATATGCAATCTATCTCTAAGATGAATTTTAGAGAGAAGACTCATTAAAATAGATGACTTGGGGGACTCATAGAGGACTCATAGAAACCTTGTCAAAGTAATATTATTATGAAATGTTTTGATAGGGCTGCAACCAATCAAAATAAGTAAAGCCTCACCTCAAAACTCATCAAAAAGTATTGCTTTGATGTCGGAAAGGCTTCAAATCGATTGTCTTGACCTTTATCATGTGGTCATAAGAAAAAAAACAAATTAGGATTTCAATCCCTAAGAATAGTGTATATTATAGCATATAATCTAAACCATCCATTTTGCCCTAAAAATAAGTTTTTACAGATATGTAGTATTTTTTTAGCTTCAAATTTCATAGTTGGTGTTGTAAATTGATTTTAGAGCCATCATGGAGATTTCCAATGCCCAAAGTATATTCCTGATGTGGACACGAGGTCGGGCTTTATAAAGCTTAGGCCTCATAGAAACTGCATCCTATTATTACATCCTTTTTCCTTTTTTACAGGACTTGATTGTACAATAGACAACTCGCATTGGAACTGACGACCTTGGGCTTATAATGCACAAAAATAAATCGATTAGAGCCATGGGCTCAACCCAATCATTAGCAGTCAAATTCTTTAATATTAAT